AACAAAGTGAAATCACACGGGGCTAAGTCCAGTGAGTAGAGAGGCTGATTACAACACTCGCAGCTAAGAAGGGAATACACATCACAAGACACAGTTTACACAGAATATAAGAAAAACGACCCCCATAGTGGAAGAACCATACGCAAGTTTTAATTAAGGCACATAAGATGAATAATCTTAACAAGTTTTATTGTTTTATTATAGTTGACAAATACGCACTTTTTAAATACTTTTATAAAGACATATAAAGGCAAGCAATGCAATAGATTAGCATAATTAGGGCACCTGATGATGGCACTGTGTTGCTGAAACATGTCGTGAAGTAACAGGTGAAATTGAGTGCACTACAAGACGGCTACTGTATACATATCATGGATGAAAATCAGTGCAACAGGACGCTAAAATACAACTTTACAATATTGCTAGTGTGAGGGACAATGATGAACCAAATCAAACTTAGACATCTTATATTCTTACTGATTTTAGGCTGTTAATGTTAATTCAGTTCTTGGGTTGTTCACCACGTGGATGTGGGCAGTGTTGCTGATATTTTGGAGTTACAGCTTCAGGGTTGAAGTGTGTAGGGTGAGTTTCTATGTGTGTATGTGTGGGGGGGGGGGCATAGAGGCATATGCATGAGTGTATTTAGAAAAGAATTGTAAGGGACAAGAGTGGGAGATTGTGCCCTTTCTGGGCCAACCAGAAATTTTTTTGTATTGTTTTTCATCCCTCTTTTGTATGAGTGGTAATGGAAAGGTGATCAACAAAAGTATAATGTACATAGTACTGGAAAGTGTCAGTTGACAGGTATAATGATTCTAATTATATTGTGTTGTGGAGAATGTTCATTTTATACATTTGTGTATTTCTTTGGTGCAGAATAGTCAGAATGCAAAGGAACATGCACATTACATATGGAAACATTATGTTAAAGAAATGACTCCAAAGCATATTGCAATAATTGCTCACAGTTATGGTGGATTCCTGACAGTTGATCTGGTAAGTCAGTAACTATATTTCCTTTGTTATGTGTTGGAAACTGGTCTGGAATTAGTGACAGGTGGCACTAGAGTTCTCCATTGTTCAACTTACAATCACCAGTTTCCACTGGACCAAATACTGAAGTGGTCTGTTTGCAGTGAGTAGCCTATCCTTCCCTTTTCATGACATATGGCATTGAGCCTTAGCCTGTATTTTCATCATTAAGTCAGTTCCATATGAGAGAGTAAGGTATTTATAATTTTATATAAAAATAAAGGGTTACTGTCAGTATGGTACACTTGGCATACTGAAGGCAGACTTCATAAAACGAATGTGGTAGTTCGTGAATCCAAATACTGTAATCTTGGTTTTGTGCCTTTTAGTATTTGGTTAGTTTTGATTCCACATTTCCTATTCTAAATTGTATTGTTATTTGCTCAGTTTAGTTGATGTTGCTTCCATAGTTTGTCAGGTTAAATTGTAATTCAGTTTAAAACAAGAGTTTAAGGTATAATGTTTAGAACTGTATGTCAGTAAATTAATGCTTATGTTAACTAGCCATAGTCCTGTTCTTAATAATGGTATTTTCATTATCCAGTTCTCACTACTGTAACTTTTTTTTATTGCTAGTGGGGTGGGACTAAGTCCCCTGTACTGTGGTCACTTCTGGCCTGTTGTACCAGCCCCAGATGATAGGTGAGGGTGATTGTGGAGCATTTGGTGGAATGAAGATGGGCAGGGGAAACCGAAGTACTCGGAGAAGACCTGCCCCACCGCCACTTTATCCACCACAAATCCCACTTGGCCAGACCTGGGATCGAACCCGGGACGCCGCAGTGGGAAGCCAGCAACTAACCACTTGAGCTGTGGCGCGGCCATTCCACTGTAACTTAGTAATATAAAGATTAAATTAGAATTCAAACTAAAAATGTTGTTATATCATTTTTTGTGTTGCTTGCATCTTACTGTTTGAAGAAAACAATCATACATTTAAAGTATTCCTTACCTCTGAATAATATGTACATATGAGAAATGTAAATACTAATGTATTATTGTGACTTGTATTATTTATAACAACACTTCCTCAAAAATAAATATAAAAGTTTGTATTTCTCTATTCTTATTAAATCTCATTTTAATTTTCTTCCCTTGATCTGAAATTGCAGGCTTATTTCACTGAGATTGAGGTAGCATTTTGTGGCCTGAAATGTCAAGAGGCCACTGACTATTACTGTAAAAAATATCACACAGAAAGTGATCTCAGATTGTGTGTGTATGCTCGTACATGCATGCACATCTAAGAAAGGANAGGGGAAACCGAAGTACTCGGAGAAGACCTGCCCCACCGCCACTTTATCCACCACAAATCCCACTTGGCCAGACCTGGGATCGAACCCAGGACGCCGCAGTGGGAAGCCAGCAGCTAACCACTTGAGCTATGGCGCGGCCATCCTACTGTAACTTAGTAATATAAAGATTAAAATAGAATTCAAACTAAAAATGTTGTTATATCATTTTTATGTGTTGCTTGCATCTAATTGTTTGAAGAAAACAATCATACATTTAAAGTAACCTCTGAATAATATGTACATATGAGAAATGTAAATACTGATGTATTATTGTGACTTGTATTATTTATAACAACACTTCCTCAAAAATAAATATAAAAGTTTGTATTTCTCTATTCTTATTAAATCTCATTTTAATTTTCTTCCCTTGATCTGAAATTGCAGGCTTATTTCACTGAGATTGAGGTAGCATTTTTCGGCCTGAAATGTCAGAGGCCACTGACTATTACTGTAAAAAATATCACACAGAAAGTGATCTCAGATTGTGTGTGTATGCTCGTACATGCATGCACATCTAAGAAAGGACACAGTCATGTAAACAGTCAATGATGACCAGAATTTAGGTCATACTATATTCAACATAATTAAAAGGGTAATTTCAGTAAAGTGAAGGTCATTCTTATTTATTCATTTTGTGTGTGGGTTATATCTTCCTCTCAACCACATTGATTTTGGCTAAAATACCAATATTAATATTTATCAGAATCTGTGTTAGTAACTAATACATAACATTGCAATAGGAGTAAATTGTTCGGTATCTGATTTAAGATGAATGAATTAATGTTGTGTAATATCTACATTAGTTCTTTTTTCTGTTGTAGGCTACTCAGTATTACTCTGATTTCCACAGCAGAGTGTTTGCTATTGCCTTAACAGATTCTGTGCATAGTTTGGAGATGCAGAAAGTCCCTCCCAGAGTTTCAGAGTACCTGCAAAAGGTAAGGGAATTTTGTTCTAATTCCCATATTTGTGTAATGTCTATTGAGATCATACTATAAATTGTGTGTGTGTGTGTGCATTCGTGCATGTGGAAAATGGTATATAAGGTGCTGCTAGAAAATTCCCCGACTCTCATTAGTGTAACTGCCTTGGTGAAAGAATATGAGAGGAGAGGCCAAAGCCACACTTCCGCAAACCTATTGCATCACTCTGCCACGTGACACCGTGCTGTGAACACCCATTGTTTTTAGACAAGTGTTTCTTTGACTTTGTGTTTTGTNTGATGGATGGCAACATTGAGCAATGTGTCTGCATCAGGTTTACACTTCTGAAACCCTTGAAATGCTTTGCGAGGCGTTTGGAGAATATTCTTTAAGCCAGGCAGTAGTTTTTGAATGGCATTCACGTTTCAAGGCCAGTTAAGTCTCAGCTGAAGATGATGAATGTTCAGGGCGACCAAGCACCAGCAAAAGGAAAGAAAATGTTGAAGAAATTCAAGAACTTACCCATAAAGACTGTCGCCAAACAATCCATGAGCTTGCAGACACCATTTGAATATGTGCTGCATTGCAGCAAAGTTTGTTCCCTGACTCTTGACAAATGATCAAAAGCAGCGGCTCGTAAACCTGTGTCTTGAGCTACAAGAGAAGCCTAACGAGGACCCAGCTTTTATCTCTAGGATCATAACAGGTGATGAAAGTTGGATTTATGGTTATGATCGAGAAACAAAGCAGCAGTCGTCGCAGTGAAAGAGCCCACAGTCACCAAGGGCAGAAAGGCACAGCAGGTCCAGAGTTCAACAGAGAACATGCTCATTGTTTTTTTCCGACCTGAAGGGGATTGTTCACCCTGAATTTGTTCCTCCTAACATTACGGTCAAGTCTGATTTTTACTGTGACTTTTTGAGACTCTTGAGAGAAAATGTGTGACAAGAAAGAGTGGAACTTTGGCACAACCAGAACTGGCTCCTCCATCACAACAATATGCCTGCCCACACCTCCTTGAAAACCACAGAGCTTGTGACTAACAGCAACATGGTTATCATTCTGCATCTTCCCTACTCACCAGACTTAGCCCCCTGTGATTTTGCTTTGTTTCCCAAATTGAAACTGAAACTGAAGGGATGACATATTGAAACATAGTGTGAGACTGAAAGGGAATTGCAAGCAGTACTCAACAGCATTAAAGAAAATGACTTCCATGATGCTTTTGAAGCATGAAGAAAATGGTGGGATCGCTGCGTATGTTCCCAAGGATACTATTTTGAAGGAAATGGCAGCCAAAATTTAGTACGTTACGCCAGCATTTCCTTTTTGACCTAGTCCGAGAACTTTCTGATGGCACCTCATATAGGTTATACAGTAGAACTTGGTTATAACCTCATCAAAGGGACCTAAAAATAGTGTCGTTATAAACGAATGTCGTTGTAACCGAAATGGGCACTTCCACAGTAGCCTTATGTTAGTCACGTAAAAATCTACCAAAAACTGAGTTAAAATGTTGCATTTTTTAGTGAAATACGTAGTTAAGTACAGACTAACGTANTGTAATGCCAGTTGTCGGAGTGATAAATTAATGAATTAGAGAGAATGTGGAAGGAAGCGTTCATGATCTGATTGGAGAAACTATCCAGGCAATTGTCTGGTGGGACTGCAGAAAACCACAAAACACTTCATTCAAGACACCCTGGCCTAGGTTTGAACCTGGGATCCCCCAAATGAAAAGTAGGAATACTACCCATTCAGGTGCAGCATTTACTGAAATAGATTCTAGCACTTCCTAATAATAATATAACAAATTTTAATGTGTGGTATGTAAAATTAAAGATAGTAAATATTCTGACTTGACTAGGATTTAGGCACATGATCATCTGTGCACCAGGCCCGTATACTGACCCGTAAGGTACATTGCAGTGTACTGTTGGATAGCAACTTTATATTACCAGTGTATTGCATTAACAGCACAAGATTTATAGAACTGGTGGTCTGTGTAACAGAAAAGTAGGTTTATGAGTTCTACCTTGAAGTCATTGTTTGTATGCACTGAAAGAACAGGCAATTTAATTAAGCTTTGGTGAGGGCTGGTGGTGATTGGAGTTCCACTGACTCCCAGTTTCCTGTAAGGCTTTAATCTCGCCGGCTGCATTGTCTTTTAGGAACATAACCCTTGTCATATAGTGAGGGATTACTGTATATTATTTTTAGTCAGGTCACTCAAGTATTATCGGTGGGAGGCAAGAATTTTCTCTTCTCCAAATCGTCCAGACTGGCTCTGGGGTCCACTCAATCTCCTATTCAATGGGTACTGGAGCTCTTTCCCCAGGGGTAAAGCAGCAGGGGTGTGAAGCTGAACACACCTCCAACTAGTGCCGAGGTCAAGAAAATATGGATCAATACATCCACTCCCCAATATGCCTTCATGGCGTAGTGCTTACTTAATTAGTTAAGCGCAGGGACAACTTTACCTTTTTTTACCTGAGTATTATTGTCACTAGAAACAGACTTCCATAATATTTTGGGTATGTCATCAGACAGAAACTTAAAACTTATCGATTGACTCTTTAAGTCACTGAATGATGATGTTCAGTCAGAAAGGTTATATGATGTTAAATGAGATGGGACAATCATAATTGTGAGTAATTAAGGTTTAGGAAGGTTGTAGTCATGGACTGTACTGGCATTTGTTTGGAAAGAGTCTGGAAACTCACAAAGGAAGCCAGCATAACTGGTATCACAGCTCACACCTCCCAGAGACGAGTATAGGTGCATTATCTCTGCATCAGCCTGCATGGTTGAAATTTGTTATTTACAACTAAGGAGCTTGATTTTGCGTGAAAGAACAGATGAAAATGAAGATCATAAAATAAAATATCAGAAAGCCAAAAGAGAGTCATAGGACAGATATATCAGTAGAAAAGAGAATGGAGTACATAAAAGTCAGCATGCAGTATTAAGGTAATGAAATGTTTAAATGGGAGGAGGGGGGGGGGGAAGTAGTCCTGTTTTGGCAGTATTCAATATCAGTTGGTGATGCAAGAAGCAGATGTTTGATCTGATTTTATTTATAAAATAACTATAAAGCATAGGAATATGAAGTTTTCATATCCCACTCTTCAGTCATTAACCTAAGAATTATCTCATTAATATGTATATTTATAATGATTACTGCATTAGCATAAAAATATATAGAGATGCTGGAGTAATTGCACATAAAATGCCCAGGGATAGAACTATTTAAAGAAAAGTGTCACTGTTCTGCAGAAAGACCTAAACTTGTCTTTAATTTTATTTATAAGATATGAAATTACAGTGAAGACATTGGGTTACATTTGTGAAAAATTCTGAAACATGATGTGACACGTTTTTGTCGTTTTGTATGATCCTTAGAAAGTACCGTCATGTTCATGTTGTGTTAAGGGCCAGTATGTACCAAGTGTGTGCTAGCTATTTGAGAGCACTGCCACTAGTTGGCATCTGCCTGGCTTGGTTGCTTTGTGCTCTGCTTACACATGTGAGTACACATAGTGTTGATTAGCCAGATCACATGAAGACCACCTGCCATGCAGCATGCTGCTGCACTTGCATTCAGAGGGTTTATGCCTGCTTGAATTTTGAAGCCTCAGGTGGTGGTGGTGATGCTTCTCTTTCTTCTACAATGAGTTTTTTTGCAAACACACACTCAGGCATGAGTTGAATGCTCTTCTCATCATGTCAGGGTGACCCATAATGTGGAAGTTTGGTTTGCAGTACTGCTGTGTAGAAAACTCACCATATTGTACTGACATTGCAAGGATTTATCTGCAAAGCCAGGATCTTCATGTCTGGAACAGTCATGTTATTTAATTAAGTATGAAAAGTGATTTTCACATGGTGTCTTTATTGATTGAGCTATAGTTCTTTAATGTTATGTTTGCAAATATCCAGCTGATTGTACTTTAAGAGATCACTAAGTCGCAGTGACTTACCTAGCGCATACCTGTTTTGTGTGTACAGCTTCCTATGTGTTATACTTTCCACCGGAAAATCTGACATAGTGATCTGATATCAAAATTTATGTATTATATTAATTCTTAAATTAACTTCTATCCACATAAAACAAAGTACCAAATAAATAAACTTCTTAAGCCTGAAAAAGAGTAATTTCCTTCCAGTAACATCTGCCCATTCTTTTGTAACATGGCATGCATCAGTTAATATGGAATGATGGAGTTACAACTGCTAAGGTTATTGCTGTCTGTTCTAGGATAGTTCACCATATTCGGCTGGTTTCTCGTTCAAATTTCTGTCAACAGACTAATTATGATGATTGAGGTTTCCTCACTTCCTTCAGGAAAATGCAGGAACAGTGCTGGAAGATCTTTCCATTGAACAGTTTATAATCATCCTGAAATTTTTTGATACTGTTTATTTATTTGGTACTGTGTCATTGCTGTACAGCATTATTAGAGATAAAGTAAGAATTCTCTGGCTTCCTAGGTTTTTAGACTTTGTCCATTATCCAGTATTGCAAAGAACACAACATTTCAGAAGTGGACTGGCCCAGTGATTGAGGCTGGCTCTCTGTAATGGACCTAACAGAGCAGGTGTCTCCCACCCCCTCACATGATGATGGAAACAGATCAAGTTTCCAGAACATTGTGTTCTTTAGATTACTGGACGATGGGCAAAGTCCAAAAACCAAATAATCCCGAGTGTTATCCACCATCCTCAGAACCCTTTTGAATCTAAAGTAAGAATTGTAGATCCTTTCCTAGCATGTTGCTTTGTTGTTCAAAGAAAACCTCCGAACATGTGGTTAAGTCAGAGCAAATGGAATTATTCTTTGCCCAATATGAAATGTCATTGAATGCCTTACATAATCTTTACTTATGTGGTGATTTAACGACAGTGTATTAAGACTACATATTGTGGCATGTCTGCTGAAAGCTAGCAGAGAGTCATTGCAAGGGAACAGCTCCATAAACATGTCCCTTGCTAGGTAAAGGCTTCGTAAGAATGCA